TGAGAACCAAATCCTGATCTTCCAAATGGCTTCCAGCATTGTAGAATAGTACACTACCTCTGTGGCTGGGTCTTTTCCTTGAGTTTTTTCATGTTATTTTTGAGTTTCTTTTTAAATTCTGGCTTACGTTATTGTTTTATGTTTATTTCTTCCATCAGAAAGACTTAGAGAGGCAGAGAGAAAGAGAGACAGACACACAAGCCCCAAAACATCTTCATACCATAATGTAGCCCCCATGTCACTTGGTTCAGTTCCTTGGCACGTATGTGTGTAGCCAGTGTATTCAGGGATATCGATATGTACCCAGGACCTTTCCCATGTGTTACCAGAGTACCACCACTTGGACTCTACCTTAGGTTATTTTTTATCTTATATTGTCCTAGTGCATTTTAACTTGTTTAAGATAGTAGGTTACAGTATTTATTTGTCTTCTGGCTATATAGTTCTGACATGATTTTATTGATTATAGATATACATGGTGAATGTAGAAGGTTCCTATCACTAGTCTTTTTTTGTATATGCTCACCGGAGAGAGATAGAGAGAACAAGCCAAGAAATCACCTCCTGTGGGAAATTGTCCTGCACGCACACACACCCACACACATACTCCCAGCATGTTTTCTTTTCTCTTCTTTTTTTTTTTTTTGAGAGGTTTTTCCTATAGGGTGCGTGCACTCGCCAGAGAGACAGAGATAGAAAGCGAGAAATCACTCCCCGGGGGGATGGCCACGCTGCCATCCCTTCTCCATTCTCCTCTCGGGATCTTGGGCACACATGCACATGTGCCCAGCATGAGTTTAAGCCACCGCGTCTGGGACTCGAACCGTGGTCGACTCCATTGGAGTCCAGTGACATAGCCATTACGCTAACTTCCGTTCCCTCTTTTTCTTTTTTTTTTTTTTAAGAGAGATTTTTGTTATAGGGCACATGTGCTAACCCATAGAGACAGAAAGTGAGAAATCACTCTCCAAGAGGAAGGGCCACTGTGCAATCCCTTCTCTTCCATTCTAATCTCAGGATTTGGGGCACAGGCACACATATGCCCAGGATGAGTTTTAAGCCACTGGGTCAGGGACTCTAACTGCGATCGACCATATGGGAGGTTCAGTGATGCAACCATTACACCATCTGCGGGTCCCCCCCACCAGCATATTTTCTAACCTGCTGAGTTTAGGACTTGAACCGCCAGTCAGCCATGTGTGATTCGGCTGCCTCAACTACCATGCTATAGGCTAACCTGCTGCAGTCATTTCTGTTTTTATAGTGTTGGTTTATAAGGATGTTACTCTGTTATTTTTTTCTCCCTTTTTTTTTTTTTTTTTTTTTTGTTTTAGGTTTTTGCCATAGGGATTTGCACTTGCTGGGGAGAGAGATTGAGAGAGAGAGAGAGAGAGAGTTCCTGGAGGGGATGGTCATGCCGCCGCCATTCCTTCTCCTCCATTCTCCTCAGGATCTTGGGCACACACGCACACGCGCCAGGCATGAGTGTAAGCCATCAGGTCTGGGACTTGAACTGTGGTCGACTACATGGGAGTTAAACGACATAGCCATTACGCTAACTGCTAGTTACATCTCCTTTAATAGCTTTTTAAAGGATTTGACATAGAGACTTTTTGCTTATTTGAGCTCTTTAAATTATCAATAGTTTAAAGTAGTGGATTATAGTTTTTATCTGTACCCTACTACTTACTAACTCTTGGAGGTTGATGTGGCTCTTACTGTTGATTTTATGTAATGGTAAGAAAATATGGTATGGGACCAGCAGATAGCATAGCAATTATGTCACTGGACTTCCACATTGCTGACCACTGTTTGAGTCACAAACCTGGTGGCTTGAAACTCACAGCAGGTATGTATGTGTGCATGCCCAAGTCCCTGGAGGAGAATGGAGGAGAAGGGATTGTGGTGTTGCCATTCCCCCCTGGCAGGTGATTTCTCGTTTTCTGTCTCTGGTGAGTATGTGCACCCTATGGCAAAACGAAAAATCACTCTAAAAAAAAAAAAAAGAAAATGAAAATATGGTGCCTTGGGACTAGCCAAGTGACATGGTGGCTAAGGCTATTGTATCCTACATGACTTTCTGGTTTGAGTCTTGGACCCGGAGGCTTAAAAATCATGCGGGGCACTTGTACGTGAGTGCCCAAAATCCCGAGTGGAGACTGGAGGAGAAGGAATTGCAGTATGGTCATTCCTCCTGTAGAGTGCTCTCTCACTTACCTTCTCTCTTTCTCTCTCTCTTGTGATCACCCTGTAACAAATTAAAAAAAGAGATAAGTAAATATGATTTCTTCAAGGTTTCCTGACTGTTTCACTTATGCACTTCCATTCCATTTGGACTTTCTCTTCCATTTTTTCTATGTCTTTGTCCTGCCCAGGTTTTATTTTATTTATTTGTAAGACATGGGTTTTGCCATGTTGCCTAGACTGGCCCAGAGCTCTCAATCCTTCTGCCTCAGCCTGCTGAGTCTCTGGGTTAAGGTGCATGCTGCTGTGCCAGGTCACTGGGTTCCACTGGGAATCGAACTTTGACCTCCCAAATGATCCCAGCCTGTAGAGCACAATGTCTTAGCAGTGCCTGTCTACATGACTTGGCCACAAGTTTTTTCTTTGCAGGACAGGACTCCTGCAAAGAAATCCTGGCTTAAGAGTTTTGAGAGTTCAGAGCAGCTAACCTGTCCTAGTTCCTTTAAACTTTTCCAGACATCTTGGGCTCACCTGATAGTGGATAGAGCCCACTGTCCCACTGTACTTGCCAACCTATTGGCTGTTTTTTGTTGTTGTTGTTGTTTTTAGGTTAATTTTATCTCCTCTTTGTCTGTCCTCTGACTACCTACAGATTTTTTTTTTTTTAATAGAGATTTTTGCTATAGGGATAGTTCTCTTTCCAGAGAGACAGAAAGCAAGAAATCACTTCCCCTCCGGGTGGATGGCCATTCCTCAGTCCCTTCTCCTACATTCTCCTCTCAGAACTTTGAGCACGCATGCACACGCTGCCAGTGTGAGTTTTAAGCCCCTGGGTCTGGGACTCGAACTGTGGTCAGCTATATGGGAGTCCAACAATGTAACCATTATGCTATCTGCTGGTCCCCCTGCAGGTCTTGATAATGTTTTGTGTCATGGAGATCCCTTTCCAATGAGTTTTATTATAAATGCAGTCTATGGGTGTTTGGTTTGCTATTTGGTTGCTCTGTTTTTATGGGGAACTTGGGAAAACTATGTTGCCAGTTTTATGGAAATTGTACTGCCAATTGCCATTTTTATAGAATTCTGTTGATATTTCAAGAAGTGTAATTGATAATAGTATGTTTCAAGAAAATGTCTTATTGATACTAACACATTGCAGATGAATTAAGTTATTCAGGATGTATGTCAAAATGGTCCAATGAGACGTGATAGATAGATAGAATAAGACTGGCCATAACTTGAAAATTATTGAATTTGGCTGATGAATACATAGGGGTGTATTATACTGTTATTTTTTTAAAGAATTATTTTATTTAACTTTATTTTAATTTGACTAGAGATAGACAGACAGAGAGTGAGTGAGTGAGGGAGGGAGGGAGGGAGAAAGAGAAAGAAAAAGTGAGAAATCAAGCCTCCAAATCTGGGACTTGAACTATGATCAGCCATGTGGGAGTCCAGTGTCCTTAACCACACCACCACCTGCTGGCCCCCATAGTATTCTTTTTTTTTCTTTTTTTTTGGAGAGGTTTTTGCTATAGGGCGTGTGTGCTCGCCAGACAGATAGAGACATAGAGACAGAAAGCAAGAAATCCCCCCCCAGGGGGGATGGTCACGCTCCACTCCCTTCTCCTCCATTCTCCTCTCGGGATCTTGGGCATGCACGCACACGCACCCGGCGTGAGTTTTAAGCCACTGGGTCCAGGGCGCGAACCGCGGTCGACTAAGTGTGAGTCCAGCAACATAGCCATTACACTAACTGCTGGTTCCCGATAGTATTTTTCTTTTATGTTTGTCCCTTTTTTGGAATTATTTACCAAAAAATATGAAGAATGTAGTGAAAGGTTTATAATACCAATTTTTCATTTCTCCCCATCTGTTTGTAATCATTTGTATTATGTACACAAAAAGGACATTTTAATGCTATTTTATAAGTGATACCAACTTATATACCAGTGCTTGTCAGTATCCTTTCTTTTTCCCATCTAGTTATACTTGCATTTCTCAGAGTGCATCTCTTAAAGTCACAGATGGGGTGAGTTTTCAGGCTTGGTATTTAAGGCAGCCATATCCCACATGGCAGACTATGTCGTTTGAGTCCCAGACCTGGCAGATTGAGAAACAGACTGGAGTGTGTATATGGTGGAAGAAATGGAGGAGAGAGGATTACGGCATGACCATTTTCCATGGAGGGTGCTTTTGTCTCTCTATGGCGAGTGCATATGTCCTGTAACAACAAGAAAAGTTGCAAATAGACTTGTCTCATTATCCTTTGGTATTAATGCATTTCCCTCCACACACAATCTCATATTTCGTTCAGTCTTTCCCTTGAATATCTTACTGTGCATCTTATATAATTTTATCTTTCCATCTATACTCTTTCTTTTCTAGGCCTAGTTGTTTTTTTTAGATTACAATGTAGGACTTCACATTAATTTGCACATCATGTTTAATCAGGGACAGTTATACCTTGACACTTCAAACTGATAGTTGTAAACTTAATTTGCTATTTGATACATCTTGTATTCTTCAGATATCTTTTAATATCTTCTGAGATAGATTTTTAATATTCTTTTAGAGGATTATACTAGCCCCTACCTAGCTCATGGAAGATGTGAGAGGAATCAAGTGAAATAGTACAAGGAAAGCCCAGGAAGAAAAAGCCCTTGCTTCCTGGCCCAGAGTGGGTGTTTAGTAGATGCTAATTTTTATTTGTATTGATGTAATTTTATTATAATTCAGTCACACATGCAGATTGTGATTGTCTTTACCTTATCTTTGGGTAGCATTTGTTAATTTTTTTGTGTCTTATTTGATAGATAGCAGCTGATGAACCTCCACCAGAAGATTGTAAGTCCTTTTTTTCAGTGCATGGAAAGACGACTTGTGATTTTGATGCCCTTGAGACTCTTATACTATCAGCATCTGAAAGGTACATGGTGCTTTTTTTATTTAAATATCATGCGTTTCCTTGTATCTCTTCTCAATGAAGTTCACCTTCTGATTTTTTAAAAATCTGTTTTGTACTCTATAGGTGTACTAGTTTAAGTGTGGATTCTGAAACTAGAGTGACTGGATTTGAATCTCAGTTCAGTCACTCAAAATAGTTTTTTGAAATGGACCAAATGACTTTCTTTCATCATTTCATTTCAAAGCAGAGATAGTAAGAGTATTTAAAATCACTGTTATGATTTAATAATGAAGGCGTCTGAGAGATTGCATAGGTTTTGTCATTATGTAGGTAAGGAACACTGTGTGTATTAAAGCCAGTTCTTGAATTAATGAGATTAATGATAATAATCTCTCAGGATATAATTAACTTCAGATAAAAGACACTGTTTTAAAGATAATTGCAAGCTTGATTTGAATTTTAAATTGGTAATGAATGTGCTGGCTTTTTGCTTAAAGGTTGGTTTCCTTTGATGGACAACTGTCATAGGTTGTCCTCCTTGCTGTCTGACCAGGGTGGGCAGCAACCCCTCTATACTTCTTCTAATGGTGGTATAAATGCAATGACAACGATTATTCCGCTAATGGCATTGGAGGCAACAGAGGTTTTTAGTGAAAGTGTCTGCCCAGCACGGGTCTTTTGCTTACCACCGAGTGCTTCTTACTCGGTGACAAGTGCTCTGCAAATGCAGTGACATATGGATACTTGAACATGGCTACATGGTAAAGTAGTGCTCTCTTGGGAAGAGCAAAGCTGATAGCATTGAAATTCTTTAAAAGACTTTGACTATTTACAATAATAATGCAGACTATTACTTCTTAAATTTAAATTTAAAACTTTTTAAAGGTTTTTGCCTTAGGGCACATGTGCTCTCTGAAAAGAGAGTAAGACAGAAACAGTGAGAAATAACCCCCTGGGGGGATGGCCATGCCGTAATCCTTATTCCTCCATTCTCCTCCTGGGGTCTTGGGCACACATGCACACAGACCTGGTGTAATTTTCAAGCCAGGGAGTCTGGGATTCAGACTGTAGTTAGCCATGTGGGAGTCCAGCGACATAACTGCTAGCCATCTGCTGTCCCAAAAATGCAGACTTCATATAAAGAAAAGAGTGATAATATCTCCTCTTTTACGATGTGGTAACTGCTTCCAGTGGTTTGGTATGTATCTTATTAGACTTTTTCTAAGGTTTGAAATTTATTCATGTAGGTAAATTTATTTTTACAAGAGGCATACTGCCTCTTATAATACATGTGGGCATACCTTGGTATTTTTGATAAATGCACAATAACCAATATAAGAATGTCCTGTAATTGTTTCTTACCTGTAATTTTTGTTGTTGTTCTTTATTACAGTAAGGCTTTGTTAAACATCCTTTTCCTTGTTAAAACTTTTATCTTCTGTTAAATAGTATCATAGAAATTGCCAAAACATAAAATCTATGCCTTAAAATTTATTAATATCTGGACCAGCAGATAGCGTAATGGCTACATCGCTGGACTCCCTGGTAGTTGACCACTGTTCTAGTCCTGGACCCAGTGGCTTAAACTCACGCCGGGCGTGTGTGCATGCGAGCCCAAGATCCCGAGAGGAGAATAGAAGGGAAGGGATTGTGGTGTGGCCATCCCCCCTGGGGGGTGATTTCTCGCTTTCTGTCTCTGTCTTTCTGGCAAGCACATGTACCCTATAGCAAAAACCTCTCCCCCTAAAAAAATTATTAATATCATTAGAGAAGTTTTTTGTTTGTTTGTTTCTTTTTTTTTTTTTTTTTTTTTTTTGAGAGGTTTTTACAGGGCACTTGTACTCACTGGAGAGACAAAAAGTGAGATATCCCTTCCAGGGAGGATGGTGATGCCACAGTCCCTTCTCCTTCGTTCTTCCCTTGGGATTTTTGTCACAGATGCACCCCACATGAATTTTAAACTGCTGGGTCTGGGACTCGAACCATGGTTGACCACGTGGGAGTCCATCAGTGTTACCCTTATACCATCTGCTAGTCCCAAGAAGTTTTTTTTTTTAAGTTCTAAATTTATAAGGAAAACTGAAATGTTCAGTTTATTAGTAGGAAGATCATAGTAAAAATGGCAGAGGCGAGAGATTTGCTATAACTGGCAAATTATATGCTTAAAGTCATCTATTGCTTTTTGTAGTGTTTGTACTTATGTTTTCAGATAAAATGTTAATCACATTCTAGTTATGCGGTAGAAAATATACTCAGTACATATATATTTTTTTAAATAATTATTTTATTTTATATATTCATTTATTTATTTATTTTTAGTTTGACCAGAGAGAGACAGAGGATAACAGTGAGAAAGAGAGGAAGTGAGAAAGTAAGCCACCAGATTCAGGACTTGAACCCTGGTCGGCCATGTGGGAGTGTCCAGCTCCTTAACTACCGCACCACCTGCTGGTCCCCATACTCAGTATATTTTTAGTACAAGTAATTTTAGCACTCTGAGATTTGGATTTATATTCTTTTTCTAATTTTAGTTTTCCTTCTAGCAATTGGTAACAATTATTAATCAAAGCCTGCATTTTATAGTTAGTGTTTATATAACGTAATTTATTATTTTTAATTATGAACAAGTAAGAATCATCCCTAATTTACTACTACTTAGTAAAAACTATTGAAATGGTGATATTTTTTATGTTAGGATACTTTTAAACATTATTTAAGTGATCATAGCTGTCCTTTATATTTTGTACATTTTTTTAGTATTTCAAAATTTTTTTATGTTTAAAATTTTAAACTTTTAATATTTATTTTCAGACCCAGACCTTTATTGTTCAAAGGAGATCACAGATATCCCTCTTCTAATCTTGAAAGCCCAGTGGTGATTTTCTACTCTGAGATTGGCCACGAGGAATTTTCTAATATCCACCATCAGCTTAAATCAAAAAGCAGTGCAGGCAAAATCAATTATGTATTCAGACATTATGTATCTGTAAGTATTGACTTAATTTCCAACTGTTTTGAATATTAATTTACCCCAAACTATCTTATAACATATTAATTTCCATCTTTATAAGATAATTTATTTGAACTACTTTTTGAGTAATCCACTATTTCCGTAACATCTATTTGCATGTAATTGCTTTGCTTGCCTTTCTGAAGAAATGTAAAATAAGTATGCTAAAGAAAACGGCTTAGTAAAGTTTACATTTTATTTTCAAATGAATAATGTCAGTAACATTTTCTAAATTTAATACGGTTATACTATGGAACTGATTCTTTTTTTTTTTGAGGTTTTTGCTATAGGGTGCAAGTGCTCGCCAGAAAGACAGAGAGACAGAAAGCGAGAAGTCACCCCCCAGAGGGGATGGCCACGCCACAATCCTTCTCCTCCATTCTCCTTTCAGGATCTTGGACATGCATGCACATGCACTTGGTGTTAGTTTAAGCACTGGGTCTGGGACTTGAACTGTGTTTGACTACATGGGAGTCCAGAGACATAGCCATTACGCCAACTAATGGTCCCCAGAAACTGATTTTTTTTTTGTAATAGGACATGTGTGCTCGCCAGAAAGACAGAGAGAGACAGAGAGACAGAAAACGAGAAATCACCCCTCCGGGGGCGATGGCCACACCACAGTCCTTTCTCCTCCATTCTCCTTTCAGGATCTTGGACATGCATGCACATGCACTTGGTGTTAGTTTAAGCACTGGGTCTGGGACTTGAACTGTGGTCCACTACATGGGAGTCCAGCGACATAGCCATTTCGCTAACTGTTGGTCCCCAGAAATTGATTCTTATATTTAGTTTCTCTATTAAATTTTTCAGAGATCATGTGCTTTTGCCAGAGAGAAATAGAGAGGGAGAAGGAAAAAGCCTTCCCCTTTGCCCCAGTGGAGTATGGTCATGCTGTAATCCTATTTCCTCTCTTTTTCCACCCTGTTAATATTTGGGGCACGCACATACAAGCTTGGCATGTTTTGCGAGCCAACAGTGCTGGGATTTGAACTGTATGTTTTGCCATGTGAGTTCCAGCTCTCTTAATCACCAGGCCATGGGACCAGTCTAAATACAATTATTTTTTTAAACCTTCTTTTTTTCTTTCCTTTTGGGTAGCTTTTCATATGGTAGAAGGGGTAAGATTTCTGAAGAGGTGAAATTAGGCAGAATATATTTAAATTAACCTTTTAAGACCCTGTGTAACATTTAGCATTTAAAATATTTATATGTAGGGGCCAGCAGGTGGCTTGATGGTTAAGGGTGAGAGACTTCCACATGGCCAACTGTGGTTCAAGTCCCAGATCTAGTGGCTTGATTTCTCACTTTCCCTTTCTCTTTTTTGCTCTGTTTCTCTCTGATCAAATTAAAATAAGTAAATAAGTAAATCAAGTTAGAATAAAAGACTTTTTTAAAAAAATATTTGCACGTAAAGATTGTTAGTCATCAAAGTTTCTATTTCATAATAAGCTCTGTAAATATTGCATGTTAAATCCATGCAAATAAAATAAAATTTTTAAATGAAAATTTATATGAGCAGAAACCGATATAGCAAAGTTTAATTTTTACCACTTTTCTTCCTCCCTCTACTCCTCAGGTGTATTTCTTCCTCCCTCTACTCCTCAGGCGTATGTTGAGGATTAACAGGTCCTAAAGAACCATAAGTCAGGATAGTGGTGTGCTTGTGACATATGTTCAACCCAAGCCCCACCTGGAGCCATTTACATTCGGTAGAAAACACACATGCACATACAGGTCTCAGCGAAACATTTCTGAGTTTCAGAGATCTTCAGTTTTTAGCTCTGTAGGTTCTTGAGCTTCTTTTTCTTTCTTCATTTATTCATGTGTATTAGGCACCTTTGCCCTTTCAGTTGTCACTTCCTTTGATTTGCTTCTTCCTTGGAATTCCCATTCCCGTAGTTTGTGGCAGAATATAAAATGTAAAGGAGGCTAAGATTTTATGGATAGGAAAAAAGCTATATTGATTTCTCTCTGTCTCTCTCTTTTTTAAAAATAGCATTGTTTCAGAGATAATTAAGTGCTTTTAATGCTTTCTGGTAGATTTGGTAGGTTTTAGGGTAAAAAATTAATTTTAGTGGACTCTCTTTTTTTTGGAGAGGTTTTTGCTATAGGGCGCATGTGCTCGCCAGACGGATAGAGACCTAGAGACAGAAAGCGAGAAATCACCCCCAGGGGGGATGGTCACGCTGCAATCCCTTCTCCTCCATTCTCCTCTTGGGATCTTGGGCACGTACGCACACGCACCCGGCGTGAGTTTTTAGCCACCAGGTCTGGGACGCGAACCGTGGTCGACTACGTGGGAGTCCAGAGTCCAGCAACATAGCCATTACGCTAACTACTGGTCCCCGCCCTTCTTTTTTTTTTTTTTTTTTAATGCCAGAGTGTATGCATGCGGCTGCACCACAAGACAGAGAATAAGAGAAAACAAAAAAAGAGCGAGAGAGAGAGGACAGCCCCACTGGGACCTGTTTATGCTATAGTACATTTTATTCCAATTCTCCAGCTTGTTTGAATCCTGGATATGCATGTGTACCTGTGTGCATGTCTAGCATGTTTTTTAAGCCACTAGACCAGGACTTGAACCCAGGTTGGCTATGTGGGATCTCTCTTACTCTGTGTAGTGTTTAACTACAACACTACAGACCAACCCATGAGAAATGTCTTTAAGGAGCAAGTATAAAGAAAGATATTTTGAGGGCATAGCCCTAGGTAATGGGTACTAGGTGCAACATTACCCTGGTGACATCATGTACTCCATAATACTTAAAGTGCTTGGTGGTGATGGTGGAATGTTGCTTTGCTTGCAGAATCCCAGGAAGGAGCCTGTTCACCTCTCTGGCTACGGTGTGGAGTTGGCCATCAAGAGCACTGAGTACAAGGCCAAGGATGATACTCAGGTGAAAGGTGAATTTGTAAAAATATGAACAATGTGGTTTGTTTTTTTTTTTCCTTGAAGTATGAGTTAAAAGGGATCTTTAATGATAAAGAATATATTTAGGGTTATGACGAACCTGTGTTTGAATCCTGGTTCTTTGACCTCTGAGTGGCAGACACTAAGCAAATTATCTAGCTCCTCATTTTTTCCTGTAAAATGCAGGCAGTCATGTATGCCTCTTCAAGTATTTGGGTGGGGTAAATATTTAAGAAAAGAATGTGGCATAATTTTGTGTACCAAAAAAAGTCCAATAAATAGTAGCTATTGTTGACATTATTTGCTTACAAATAGGCGTTAATTTGTGACTCTGGTGTGAAGTCTTAAACTATCTTACAATTAGTGAACAACTTTGTGCTATTTTCTGCCTTTGGAACAGATTTCTGTGGATACTTCCTGTTGTGATACTCTAAGGAATTGAATTAATTATTTCAGCCACAAGATTTATATTATTTTTCTCCTAAGAATTATTTATTTTATTATTTATTCATTTATTTTAATTTGACCCGAGAGATACACAGAAAAAGTGAGAAACAAGCCACCAGGTCCGTCTGGAGCCATGGTTGGTCATGTGGGAGTGTCCAGCACCTTAACCACCATGTCTCCTGCCAGTCCCTTATTTTTCTTTTATGCTATGTTTAGAAATAAAAATGTTAATTTAATAAGTAAAGCAAATGGAGATTTACCTAGTACTTCATAATTTTGTCTTTCTCAATAATTATACTTAGGATTAAGTGGCCAGTTGCAATTTCTTCTAAATTTTGACATTGAAAAATCTATTTATACTACTTAAACCCAATCGTTTCAAAAATTAGTAACATAACATTTTCCGAACTTTTTTTTTTTTTTTTTGGTTTCACTATAGGGCATGTGTGCTTACCAGAGAGAGACAGAGAGACATGTTTGGGTGGGGGAGATAAGAAGTCATTCCCCAGGAGGGTTGGCCACACCTCATCCCCTTCTCCCCCAGTCTTTTCTCAGGATTTTGGGCACACATACACATGTGACTGGCATGATTTTCATGCCACTGGGTCTGGGATTCGAGTCATGCAGCTGACCATGTGGGATTCAGTGACTTCATCTCCACACCACTTGCTGGGTCTAATTTTCCAAAGTTTAAGGGAAAAGACATTCTTATTTTATTCCAGGGACATAGGAAATATTTAAACACACTTATAGTGTTTGTCTGAAGAATCATTGCAAAATATTTACTGGGGCACCCAACATTTTAAACAGTAGTATAATTTCAGGTGTTTCTGATTTCATTCTGTTTTTTTACATTATTCAGTTTTAATGGGGTTAATAACCTTTTTATTTCTAATCTGAGTGATTAGACATGGATATGATACACTTTTGTAGGAACTGAGGTAAATGCCACAATGATTGGTGAAAATGATCCTATTGATGAAGTTCAAGGATTCCTCTTTGGAAAGTTAAGGTATGTATATTCTATGCGTTTTGAGAAATACTCTTATTCTCTTTAAAACTTCAGGCTTCCTTGAATTCTAAGCGTCGTCTTTCTCACATCTCAGTTACAGATCTTCTAACAGCACTTTAGATGTCTGATCTAAAATGGAGAAATGATCATGTGTAGTACAGTTTGTCACTTCTGGTTACTCTAAAGCACATTGTTACTCTTAAAGAAAAAAGGCAGGGGGCATGTGTACTCACTGGAAAGAGAGAGGAAGGGGGAGAGAGAAGGAAAGTGAGAAAGTGCCCTTCACGGGGAATGGTCGCATCACCATCCCTTCCCATCCATTTTTTCTCTCCTTCTGGGATTTTGGGTATACAAACTCATGTGCCCCATGTGCTTTTCACGCTGCTGCCTCTGGGGACTTCAACTGCAGTAGGTCATGTGGGATCCAGTTGCCTTAACCACCAGGCCATGGGCTGGCCCTGTGGCACATTATTCTGAAATGATGTGGGCTTCCTGCCTATGACTTAAATTGATTTCCTTTTCTAGGCGTATCAGTTGATGGCATAATGTTCTATATTGTGTTTTAATTGATACAATGGGAGAATTGTTGGATTCAGTAAATTGTTTCACTGAATTTTTTCTTAAGAAACAATGTATTTTAAGTTAGAGTGATCATGATTATTTGCATATGATAGAGTCTAAAATGATATCAAAAGAGGTAGATATTATACATGTTCAGTGGAGATACATTTTATTAGAATTTGCTTTATGTGGAAAGAAATTTTTTTTTTAGAGAGAGATTTTTGCTATTGGGCACTCGCGCTCACCAGAGAAACTGAGAGGTAGAAATCAAGAAATTACCCACATGGGGATGACCATGTCACAGTCCTTTCTCCTCCATTATCTTCTGGGGATTTGGGGCATGCATGATCATGAACCTGGCATAAGTTTTACACCACCTGATCCAGGAATTGAACCATGGTTGACTATGTGGGAGTCCTGCAATGTAACCATTATGCCATCTACTGGTCCCAGGGAAAGAAAATTTTTAATTATGGAATTTTAAAAATTGCATAAGAATTTTATACAAGCATCCTAGTATTTTGTAACTGAAAAGTCTTGGCTCTCATTTTTAATTAGCTAATTAATTTTTTATTTTTTAAAATTTGCCTTAGGGTGGATGTGCTCAGTGTTGAGAGACAGAGAGAGCAGGAAAATGAGAAATCCTCCCTTGCAGGGATAGCCAAACTGCAATCCCTTCTTCATTTTCCTCTTAGGATTTTGGGTGGACAGATAGGCACATAAACCTGGAGTGTTTTTCAATTTCCTAGTCTGGGACTCAACCACACAGTCCAGCTGCCTTAGCCACAGTGCCAACGGCTGGCTCTGTTAGTATTTTATTTAATTGTTTGTTTGTTTGTTTGTTTTGAGAGATTTTTGCTATAGGACGTGTGTGTTCACCAGAAAGACAGAGAGACAGAAAGCGAGAAATCACCCCCCCGCCCCCGGGGGTATGTCCATGCCGCAATCCCTTCTCCTCCATTCTTCTTTCAGGATCTTGGGCATACACGCACATGCACCTGGTGTGAGTTTAAGCTACCTGGTCGACCTGTGGTCGACTACATGGGAGTCCAGTGACATAGCTACTACACCATGTGCTGGTCCACCCTGTTAGTGTTTTAAAACAATTTTAGGGGCTAGCAGGTGGCATGGTAGTAAATGCACTGGCCTCCCACTTGGCAGATTGTGATTTGAGTCCTGGACCTGGTAGCTTGAAAACCATGCTGGATGTGTGTGCATGTGTGCCCATACTTCTGGGAGGAGAATGAAGGAGAAGGGAATTGCAGCATGGCCATCGCCCTGGGGGATGATTTCTTACTTTTTCTCTCTGTCTCTTTCCAGTGAGCACATACATTCTTTGGCAAAAATGAAAAGAAAATGTATGTATTTATTCCGTGAGAGAGAGCCAGAGAGAGAGAGAGAGATAACTCACACATATCCTCAAGCACTTCCAACAGAGTCTCATGCCACATTTCCCTCCCTAGCCTTCCCATTTTTAGCTGTGAACACATGGTATATATAGTTGACAATGAACCAAACCTGCAGTTCTCCATATGGATCCAGCATTGCTTACGTAGTGCATTACTGCTGTGCTGAGTTAGTCCTTAGGCATTATTTTGAATGTTGCAGTTATTTTTGTCATGACTGGATAATTGCATCATGCCCTGAATTCTGCTTTATTTGGAAATTTTAATTCAGACATCTACATGAGCCTGTTTTTACAAGAATATGATCATATAGGACTAGTATGTGCTAGGGTCAGTTGCATCTACTTTACCTCAGACATCTGGCTTAATGAAATGACTTCTCCAGACAGTGGAGCAGAGATGTCTTAGTTCAAAGTGAATTACTGTTGACATATTGAGTTCATCCTATGTGTTTGTATTAATACATTTCTTTTCATTTGACATCGGTTTTGGCCTCATTAATAGGTAATCTGGTTCCACTTTTTTTTGACTCGTATTTCCAGAATACCTTTTATATTCATGAGTTTTTTTTCTTTTTTAAGAATTATTTTATTTAACTTCATTTATTTATTTTAATTTGACCAGAGAGGCACAGAATGAGAGCAAGAGAGAAAGGGAAAGTGAGGAAGCAAGCTGCCAGGTCTGGGACTCGAACTGCTGTCGGCCATGAGGGAGTACAGTGCCCTTAATCACCATGCCAGCTGCTGGCCCTGATTCATGTTTTTTTGTTGTTGTTGTTGTTTTTTAGAGGTTTTTGCTCTAGGGTGCATGCACTAGCCAGAAAGACAGAGAGAGACAGAGAGACAGAAAATGAGAAATCATCTCCCAAGGGGGATGGCCACACTGCAATCTCTTTTCCATTCTCCTCTCGGGATCTTTTTTTTTATTTGAGAAATTTTCGCTATAGGGTGCGTGCGCTTGCCAGACAGAGAGAGACATAGAGACAGAAAGCGAGAAATCACCCCCCGGGGGAATGGTCACACCGCAGTCCCTTCTCCTCCATTCTCCTCTTGGGATCTTGGGCACGCACGCACATGCGTCCGGCGTGAGATTTAAGCCACTGGTCCAGGACGTGAACCGCGGTCGACTACGTGGGAGTCCAGCGACATAGCCATTATGCTAACTGCTGATTCCCTCCTCTCGGGATCTTGGGCACGCACGCACATGTGCCTGGCTGATTCATGTTTTTTATATTTGTTTTTTGGAAACTGATTTTATGCATTCACAGCACAAAATCATCAAAAAATATCAAAGACATTTTACCTTTTGGACATTCAGAATACTTAATTATCCAAAGTAATTAGATCATTTTTTAGTATTTTTATCATGGAAAATGAGTTCATATTAATTGATTAGAAATGGATTGTTGGGAAGATGAAGGATTTAGGTGACTGTTTTAATGTCTGCATATTACATTTATTAAGTTTGAGTTTCTAGCATTGAAAAAGAACATAACTGGGCCAGCCCCAGAGCGTAATGGTTAAGTGCTATGCACAGAAAGCTGGATCGTACATGGCCAGGCATGGTTCAGAATCAAGACCCTGACGGGGGTACCTATGCACACCTGCCCCAAATGCTGATGGGATGAAGAAATTGAGGAAAAAGGGTTGCAGTGTGACCATGTCTCATTGAGCGGTGCTTTTCTGGCATGGACACATGCTCTCTGGCAGTTAAAAAAGAACACACCTACTCCACTAGCCATCTGACTTCCTGATCCAAATGGTTTATCTCTGTCTCTGATAGCCTCTGTTTTACTAGCTTTTACTGGAGTGTCCTATATTTAAAAAAAAATACACACACACTCACCACTTAATAACTGTGGTTAGCCATAATTGCATTTATGTGACCGAAGGATTTATGAGCATATAGGTGAAGAGGCATTTATTTTGGAACTGGCAGCAACTTTTTCCCAGTTTTATTTTGAGAAATTTAAAAAGATTAAGAAAAGTATGGTGAATAATATATATTTGTGTACTTTTTACCCAGAATTGATCGTTGCCATCATACTCGCTTTTCTGTTTCAAAGAACTATTTATCAAGTTTTTTTTTCTTCAGTATAAGCCTTCTTTTACTTAAAACAACAAAACAAAAAACAGGGCAGTAAAGCACTACAGACAAAGTCAAAGTCTCCTTGTTTCCCACTCTTAGTCTAAGTGTGCTCTGAGAAGAAAAGGCTGTGGAAAGGACTGATGGTATTTCTGTTTCAGAGACCTGCACCCTGACCTGAAGGGACAGTTGAAAGAACTCAGGAAGCATCTTGTGGAGAGTACCAATGAGATGGCTCCTTTAAAAGTCTGGCAACTACAAGGTAATGAAAATGTAAAGACACTGGCCTTTTTGGCTAATTTTGTGGTATTAAGAAAATCCAGAATTTAATTGTATATATTCGCATGATTCTGAGGATATCACAGATTTTAAAGATAGGTTTATTAATTATGATTAAACAGAGAAGGAAGGAAAAAAGCCCCTTTGCAGATAGATAACACTAAATGAGTTGGTACCTCTTTCTTTAGCTGACCAGATACATAAGCTTTTTTTCCCCCTTTTTTTGGAGAGGATTTTGCCATAGGGCGCGTGTGCTTACCAGAAAGACAGCAAGAGACATAGAGACAGAAAGTGAGAAATCACCCCCTAGGGGGGATGGCCACATTGCAATCCCTTCTCCTCCATTGTCCTCTCTGGATTTTAGGCACACACGCACAAGTGCCCAGCCTGAGTTTAAGCCACTGGGTCCAAGACTCAAACTGCGGTCGACTACATGGCAGTCCAGCAACATAGCCATTACACTAACTGCTGGCCCCATAGGGTTTTAATATTAGAAGCACACATCATAGTCTTTAGTTCCCAGGTGTAAATATTTCTTCTTTCTTTTTTTTAAAAACAATTTGCAACAGTACATGTATACTTACTGGAGAGAGAGAGATTGATTGATTGATTGAAAAGCACTCCCCATGGGTCATGGTCATGGGGCAATTCCTCTACTCCTTTTGGGATTTTGGGCACATGGGCATGCACGCATACATGTCTGACATGTTTTTCAAGCTACTGGGCTTGGACTTGAACTGCAGAGTTGGCCATGTGAGATTAAGCTGCTTAACTACCACACCACCTATTGACCCCCAGTTTCTTAAACTGTATATATAAGGCATGTAAGACATAGTTAGTGTGATAAAATACTTATGTCCTTTTTTATTTCAAAGAGCTATTTACTCAGTTTTTTTTCCCCTCTTAAAAGTCTTTTTTTTTTTAAGAGGTTTTTGCTATAGGGCGCGTGCACTCACCAGACAGACAGAGAGAAACATAGAGACAGAAAGAGAGAAATCACCCCCCAGGGGATGGCCACACCGCAATCCCTTCTCCTCCACTCTCCTCTCGGGATCTTGGGCACGCACGCACATGCCCCCGGCGTGAGTTTTAAGCCACCGGGTCTGGAATGCGAACCATGGTCGACTACATGGGAGTCCAGTGACATAGCCATTACGCTAACTCTTGGTTCCCCCCTCTTAAAAGTCTTAATGTTGTATTTTGTAATTGTCAATTCAAGTAAGAGCTTGATTTTGCTTCTGCTTAATGTTTAATATGTGCTCTAATGTTTTACGTGGGTAGATCAGAAACTGCTCGATAAACACTCTGGTGATTTATGAAATGAATAAAACCGGAAATGGGCACTCTTTGAAATGGTTGCATTGTTGATTACCAATAGAATAATGGGGACTAATCTGCTCTTCATTACATTACATTAATACACTTTAAATTATTGCAGATCTCAGTTTCCAGACTGCTGCTCGAATCTTGGCTGCTCCTGCTGAGTTGGCATTGGTGGTTATGAAGGATCTTAGTCAAAATTTCCCTACCAAAGCCAGGTAATTCAGAGTGAGGCTCGACATGTTCTTCTTAATATAATACCAATTATCTACATATTTATATATAGGCAAAATGAGGTAACAAATAATGAAAATGCTTAGAAAGTTATTCTTTATCACCAGCCCTCCAATTCCTGCTATCTCATGCCTTGTGTGATTGAAGAGAGGAAGGAAAAAAGCCCCTTTGCAGATAGATAACACTAAATGAGTTGGTACCTCTTTCTTTAGCTGACCAGATACATAAGCTTTTTTTCCCCCTTTTTTTGGAGAGGATTTTGCCATAGGGCGCGTGTGCTTACCAGAAAGACAGCAAGAGACATAGAGACAGAAAGTGAGAAATCACCCCCTAGGGGGGATGGCCACATTGCAATCCCTTCTCCTCCATTGTCCTCTCTGGATTTTAGGCACGCACGCACAAGTGCCCAGCCTGAGTTTAAGCCACTGGGTCCAAGACTCAAACTGCGGTCGACTACATGGCAGTCCAGCAACATAGCCATTACACTAACTGCTGGTCCCATAGGGTTTTAATATTAGAAGCACACATCATAGTCTTTAGTTCCCAGGTGTAAATATTTCTTCTTTCTTTTTTTTAAAAACAATTTGCAACAGTACATGTATACTTACTGGAGAGAGAGAGATTGATTGATTGATTGAAAAGCACTCCCCATGGGTCATGGTCATGGGGCAATTCCTCTACTCCTTTTGGGATTTTGGGCACATGGGCATGCACGCATACATGTCTGACATGTTTTTCAAGCTACTGGGCTTGGACTTGAACTGCAGAGTTGGCCATGTGAGATTAAGCTGCTTAACTACCACACCACCTATTGACCCCCAGTTTCTTAAACTGTATATATAAGGCATGTAAGACATAGTTAGTGTGATAAAATACTTATGTCCTTTTTTATTTCAAAGAGCTATTTACTCAGTTTTTTTTCCCCTCTTAAAAGTCTTTTTTTTTTTAAGAGGTTTTTGCTATAGGGCGCGTGCACTCACCAGACAGACAGAGAGAAACATAGAGACAGAAAGAGAGAAATCACCCCCCAGGGGATGGCCACACCGCAATCCCTTCTCCTCCACTCTCCTCTCGGGATCTTGGGCACGCACGCACATGCCCCCGGCGTGAGTTTTAAGCCACCGGGTCTGGAATGCGAACCATGGTCGACTACATGGGAGTCCAGTGACATAGCCATTACGCTAACTCTTGGTTCCCCCCTCTTAAAAGTCTTAATGTTGTATTTTGTAATTGTCAATTCAAGTAAGAGCTTGATTTTGCTTCTGCTTAATGTTTAATATGTGCTCTAATGTTTTACGTGGGTAGATCAGAAACTGCTCGATAAACACTCTGGTGATTTATGAAATGAATAAAACCGGAAATGGGCACTCTTTGAAATGGTTGCATTGTTGATTACCAATAGAATAATGGGGACTAATCTGCTCTTCATTACATTACATTAATACACTTTAAATTATTGCAGATCTCAGTTTCCAGACTGCTGCTCGAATCTTGGCTGCTCCTGCTGAGTTGGCATTGGTGGTTATGAAGGATCTTAGTCAAAATTTCCCTACCAAAGCCAGGTAATTCAGAGTGAGGCTCGACATGTTCTTCTTAATATAATACCAATTATCTACATATTTATATATAGGCAAAATGAGGTAACAAATAATGAAAATGCTTAGAAAGTTATTCTTTATCACCAGCCCTCCAATTCCTGCTATCTCATGCCTTGTGTGATTGAAGAGGCGGTATACAGGCCATGTTCTTGGCCCTGCCATTTACTAGAGTGTGATCTTTCCAAATAAATGACCTCTGTTTAGCTCACTTTCCTCAGTAGTAGAATGCAAATAGCAATATTTGCCCTTCAAGATCGCATGTGTCATAAAGTAGTGGCCTAGAGTATAGAGGTTTTCCTTATGAATGGTTTCAATATATCATCTTAGTGAATCTCCATGAAGAAACTTAGAGGCTAAGTGATAAGTTCATAGTGACTGAATAAGATTTTAAACACAGGTTTTCTGACATTGCTTTCAATTCAATTTCAGCATTGTACCACATTAAAGAATTCTTTTTTTTTTTTTTTTTTTTTTGGAGAGGTTTTTGCTATAGGGCACGTGCACTTGCCAGACAGACAAAGAGACAGAAAGACAGCGAGAAATCATCCCCCATGGGCAATGGCCATGCTGCAGTCCCTTCTCCTCCATTCTCCTCTCGGGATCTTGGGCACGCACCCACACGCACCTGGCGTGAGTTTTAAGCCACCGGGTCCGGGACGCGAACCCCAATTGACTACATGGGAGTCTAATGACATAGCCATTACGCTAACTGCTGGTCCCCACGTTAAATAATTTTTAGCTAAGACTTATGCAGTGAATTCTAGTGTAGTCTAGCATGCTACTTGAAGATTATATGGAGATTTCTGTCTGTCTCGCTTTTAAATGCTTATATAGGCTGAGCCCTCTGCTGCCTTTATTTACTTAGCATTGTTCTTTAGCCTGTGAGCAGCAGAGATTTTAGAGAAGAACATGGTTATGTATGAGGGGCCTTTGAAAACTTTGTTGAAAAAAAGTATATGAGTTTATTTTGGTTAAAAAAATGTATCAAGTAAATGCATAGTCTTTTCTTAATGTGCATTTTCCACGAACCTTTGGAAGACCCCTATCATATTCAACTAAGAACTTGGAAACAATTACACTTACTTTACATTGCTATTCCTGTTTTTTTTTTGTTATTTCTTATAATGATGTAAATCACTTTTTTTTCATCTGCAGTTGATCTTTTATCACTTCCTCATGTTCCCAAAAGTAAACCACTATAATGATCAATTAGGAAATTCAGCATCTTTTAAAATTATGTGCTTTCTTCTCCCTGTATAAGCCTCTGCTCTACAATTTGTGAATCGCACCTCTGTAACATAACATAGCATCGGTGTACCTGCTGCTGTGAGATCTCACCTTCGTCTTCTAAGACTATCTTGAACAGATAGAAAATTCAGTAACCAAAGTTCAAAGAAGAGCAGTTACCTTCATAAGACCAAATTATTGTATAAATGGTCATCAATATGGCTTAGCATTAATATGACTATAACATAGGGATTAGTCCCTGCTTTTCTTCATTAACAATGTGACCTGATCAAAATATTTTTAATTCTAGACTAGTTTTCCATTATGTTTTACATACTTTATTCTGATATATCTTTTAAAAACAAAAGGATGCAAACATTTGCACTTATCAATGCCTTTTTCTTTAAATGTGGGTTTACTTCTTTTCCTCAGGCTTTTTGTTACCAAGAAGCAAGGTCTAATTTTGATAAGACCCATTTGCTGTGAAAGTATGAGAGTCATCTTCAAAGCAATACTCCAATTAGGCATATTCCCTGCTTAGCTGCATAATTTCTTCTAGGACATTTGTAACAAACACAACATGTATAGGACTTCAGGTTGGGATTTTTTTCCTTTTTTTTTTTTTTTTTTTTTTTTTTTTTTTTGTGTGGTTT